CCCCAAAACCCCAAAACCCCAAAACCCCAAAACCCCAAAACCCCTGAGGCGTTACAAAAAGTTGATATATAAGAGCCAAAAATAGAGTCTCATAATAATTAAAATCAAATGGACAAATCAAGTCATACTTATAAATCTATTGTTTCTGATGGAAAGAAACCTTATGTAGTCGACCAAGAGTTTAGAGAACTCAAGCCTGGAGAGGTCCTGGTCAAAGTAGAAGCAACTACTATCAATAGTGTTGATAGACTGGTGGCCATGGGGCTCTACGAGGCACCAGAATTTAGAGACAATCCTGAATATGGAGTTGGCTATGAAGGCTCTGGAATAGTCGAAGAAGGATTTGGAGAAGACGAGAAGAAACTTGTAGGCAGCGTGGTTGCCTTCTTCCAGGACCCATCTCTTCCTGGCTACCAAGGGGCTTGGAGGCAGTATATCTATCTCAATGCAAGAGATGTAATTCCATTCCCTCCAGGCACTGATGTCCAATCTGTTTGTTCTGTAACAAATCCTATTACTGTTTTTCCTATGATGGAGCAAGTACGTGATGGGAAGCATAAGGCAGTGATCCTCGGTGCTGCCTGCTCTGCTATTGGCAAAATGATCATCAGAAAATGTAGACAACTTAAGATCCCAACTATTAGTATCATCAGAAAATCTCATCAAAGAGTAACGCTCGAAGAGATTGGAGCTGAGAATATACTGGACTCGACATCGAAGACCTTCGTCGAAGACTTGAAGGAAATTGCTACTGACTTGGAAGCAACCATATTCTTCGACCCTGTTGGTGGGGACCTTAGTATGAAGGTACTTGAAGTTATGCCACCTTTGTCCACTATATCCTTTATGGATAATATGTCGAAGAAAAAGGTGGTTATTGATCCTCTCCAAATAATCTTCGCCCAGAAGACGATTACTAGTGTCAACCTGTCAGAATGGATGAAGGTACAGAGTCAAGAGAGAATAGGAGAAGTTATTGGAGAGATAGCTGGAGATCTTGCTCAAGGAGGAGAGGTATATGGAACAGATATCTATACATCTTATTCTCTCTTTGAACTCAAGGACGCTCTAAAATCTTCTTACACTACTGCATCAAGAGGCAAGACCATATTCAAGCCAAATTCTTTATAACAGTGGTCAGTAAATCAAAATCAAAATGGAGGCTCTTCTGATGTATTGGATAAGATAAAATTCTGTAAATTCTGGTTCAATAATTGGATGTTCTATCGGGGTTTTGGGGTTTTGGGGTTTTGGGGTTTTGGGGTTTTGGGG